TAAATACATAATCTACTGTGGCTAATTCTTGTCCTTTTGTTTTGTTATTTGTTCTCTTTGTATATTAAGTGAATAAATATTATTATTATAATTATTGTTATTATTATTATCATTATTATTATTATTACTATTATATCGATAAAAACAAATCTGATACATTGTACATGTGCTCTTACTTGGTGAAGCTCTTCCCTCACACGCTCAGATAGTACAATTTGTTCTCTCTCTCTGTATTCTCAACGACATTCTAAGTTCTAATTTTTGATTAATCATCCATAGTATAAGTGAAAACGTAAACAGCAGCTTGAAATTTGATACGTGTTATCTTTGGTCGTTCGAGAAATATCAAAAAACGGTATTTCATATCTCCTACAAAAGCAACCAAATGTTTGATACGTGGTATTGCAACTAGGGCATGGATACGTATCTTTTCTTATGATGACATCTGGCATTCTGTCAACATGAAAGCGTTCCATCGTCAGTTGGACGAAGCGCTGGATGAGATTTTCCAGAGCTTTCCTGACTGAACTATGTTAAGCAGACAACGTATAAGTTTGCACAAGAATCAATAGTTTCAATGACTAACGAACATGGCTTTTTAACTAACGAACCCGAATTCTGTATTTGCGGATACCTACCGTTGCCAGTAACCTCTCTCATGCACGTATTCGGACTTTTCAGAAAGCCCTCGCGCTTTTATTTTATGAACTGAGCAAGCTCAATTCTGGAGTGATAAAATTAATGCTTGAAACCCATATTGCAGCGCGAAAGATGCAGTTGAAAAATATAAAATGGGGGATAAGCGCCATCTTGGAACACTTTATGGAATGTGGAGTTCATGTGATACCTGATTTGGAAGATCCGTATGAGTTGTCCAGACAAAACACAGCAAACAAATATTGCAGATTTGCAAAAATCTCCACAGAGCTAAAATAATACACCATCGTGAATGATATACCAAAAGCCTGTATAAATCCCTGGAGCGAAACCTTGTTTTATCTCGTATTAAATATAAGAAATGTTCCGTTTTGCCATATTTCTCAAAAGGAGAGTTTAATACATATTATCTATAAAGGTTGTTGGAGTACTTTTATAAATAAAAGAAGTCACTTTTTGGAATTTCAGTGTGAGCGTAACTAAACTTGCAATTTTTCAAAATCTTCGAACCCTCAAAAGAAACTTGGCTGGAGCGTCCTGGAGAACCTATAAAAATAGCGTCAGGTCGATTTGTATCTTTCCACACCTACCTATTGAGGTATGATTAAAAAAAGAATCGATCAAAGCAATTGGACTTGGAATGTAGGGTCGACCTACTTGAAGCAGGTTTCTAACAGACTAACATAACGTTTTCTTATTTTTCTTTATATATGGTGATTTAGAAAGACGTGCCAATATTTTTAGCCTAGAAAGTACATCCAAAAATAACAAAACTCTTATAAATATGGGTCCAAAGATGCTCCCCTACTGAGATACAGGGTGATGAGCTTTATTTACGAAATTTAAAAAGAAAGTAGATATCACAAATCGTTAGTAACCTCGGACACGAAGTATGAGAACGAAGTATACAGAAGGCTTTGCACAATGTTCGTACTATGCCAGGGATTTTCAGCGCGTCCTTTTGGTGTAGAGCATGGGCTGGTATTTAATCCAGAGGTGGTCACTAACAACACCTTCTTTTGTTAGGATATTATAGCATTTATTCAGCACTATTTCTTTGTTCCCAATGTTATCTCCTCATAAATTCAGAAATAACCACTTGAGTTGTATAAAAATGTAATGTTTATTATTGTCGAATTTCTTTGCTTTGCAGTTTTTTTATCTATAAACACAAATAGGTGTCGCCGAACAAGTGGCGTGCACAGGAAAGGTTTAATGAGGAGTAAGCTTCTATTCTACTGATTGAGAATAAGACACGATTATTATTCAATCATGTAATGAGGTACCATAGCTTTGTTCACAGGCCGTATAGTGTTTACAATATCAAGCTCTACGGTGTTTTCAGAATAGGGGAGGCAAAACCTGAAATATTCAAACCGAAATATCTCCGAAACGAGTGATCTGACAAAAATTCCTGAAGAGACAAAATTTATGAAACATTTAATGGTATTTTATAAAATGCACCCCATTTTTCCGAAAAGGCCAGTGGCGTAGAAAATGTTTCCTAATAGCTGTCTAGGTACTTCAGTTTCTACGTCCCTGGTTTAGTTTGGGCCAACAAACTCTGTGTGTTCATTGCTTATGACTAGTGACTAAACGTCCAACATCGTAACGCAGTATCTTTACCCGCTCCGTAGATATTTTTTTTTCAATTTCGTTAATATAACTTCATCACCCTGTATCTCGGTAGGGGAACATCTTTGGACCCACATCCATTATAACTTTTTTTGTTATTTTCGAATGTACTTTCTGTCTTAGAAATATTGGCACGTCTTTCGGAAGCACCCTGTATAACGTAATCTGTTGTAGTGGTCGCTGCTAAAACAAAAGTGTCATTTATTTTTCCTGTTATAAAAAGTTGCACTTGTGTGACAAAAAAGAATTTGTCCAATCTATTCAAAAGATGAGCTATAAATGGAACCGAAATTTGACTAAGTACGCTCACTTCGGTATATAAGAAACTTATGTACATGTTCTTTCCGGATGAATTTTTGCCTAAGTGCTTTCCATACTTCTGGATACGAAAATAAATCAATGTGTTTCAATGGTAAGTATATAGAAAATGTGGCCTGATAATAAATTATTTTTCGCAGATACTACAGAGGCAACATTTGCGAAGTTTAAGACCCTTAGAGCTGGGCGGCTTTATTTTAATATTTTATCAAATTCTAGCGGTGCTTTTCGATCCTAGTTATGTAGACAGACAGACGGGAATGATGGGCATGACTTTCGTCCGGTACATGTTATGTTACATGTAAAAAAGACAATTTCAAGTCAACGAGCGCGCAAAGTGCAGTGATTAGAAAATTTTAAAGTGTCCGCTGCCAGAATACTTTATAACTTTGATCAGCTTTATATGTCACTTGATTTATTTTTTTAGTCTCTTGTCAGTCGACTTTTTCAAAAATACTTAAGGATGCTGCTCTATTTTACACCACTGACGTTTCTGTCGTAGACGGTGCTATTCCCTTAGATACACGTCCATCGCTTGTCTCATCTCCATAGAACTCGCAAGAACGACAACTCTCTTGCTAGATAAATAATTCATAGGACAACCGAAAAAACTGCCAATCCTCGCTTCCGGCGGAGTTGTCGGCAACTTTTGTTAAATGCAACTCCACGCAGACGCGCGCTTCGTACTAGCATTAACACCGAATTTATAGAAAACTTCGCAGCATTCGACTTTTCAACTCGCTTCTATATTTTAATACCCTTCCGAAGATAAGACATCTAAATGTTTATTTAAAGAAGTTGGAAAATTCATTCGGAGTTTCTAGTAATAATAAGTTTCTGTGAAAAGTCGATTTTCGTAGACCCTGTGAAATTATATATAAATATTATTCGGTGGAAGGGAACTGAAAACGTCTATGGATGAGATATTTAAAATTTCAAACTGTCTGTTCATTTGTAGATTATTTTAATATGAAAGCGCATCGGGTATTGCCTTTTTAATAGGTAGTAGGTTATTTGCAACCCTTTTCCAAGAATGGTATAGTGTATATGCGTTTTGTGTGTGTTGGAAACGTTTTTAAAAGTCGTACATTGAACCCCGGCAAACAAATCAACTAATAAGATTTAATTTTTATTTGGACTGTCATTGTAACATAATTACACTTTCCTGTTGTAAGTACAAGCTAGAGAATAAAGGTGCAGGGAAGACCCGAACAACCTAAACACATTTAAGCATTCTGCTATTATGTCATGGTTGCTTATCTCTCTTCATCTTCAAATAATAAACAATGACAACTAAATAGGATCTGTTTGCTTTCCATTTCTGCGACCAAAAAATATCGTTTCATGCTTTTAGCAATCTTTACTATGGTATAGGTCTAGTCATTTGGAGACTAATGATGGAAGGCAAACAAGATAAAATGGGTCTATTGAAATAAAAAGAAATATTGCGATCTGCAAAAAATAAAACAAAGGTGACACGCCATCAGATTCATAAAAGGTTATATTCGGCACAAGTTAACCAGGCTTAGAAGAAAGTAGGTTACAAACATGTGTAATAAGAGAATAAATGGATCATATCAGTCAAACAGACTCATTCAATTAGCTCATAGTCGCCAGAGATGTGGCGACATTGCCTACCGCCCTACCGACAGCACCGGCCCCCAGCAAAGTCGTAACCCAGCACGACGTTGCATACGCGATTACACGTATTATCATTCAGTTATCTCTCAGCATTCGAAGCAGACAGATGCTCATTTTGTATTCTGACACGCGAATATAGAAAAGAATAAGTGAATGTACGGGGAAATCTAAGACGTAAAAATCGAATATGGTTCCCTCACCCCCTACAATCCAAAACATCCAATTTTTAGCTCCTGAAAACGATCGGGATCCTCTCAAACGTCAAACAATGAAGTTTGTGCAATTCCATTTATTTTCTTTTTGGCCCTTTTCTCTGCGACTGGACCACTTTTCAAGAGATACAAAGCCTTTTCGTCCTTCGCATAGTAGCATCCCGAAAGTTTCCCCAAAACTTGAACAGTACTTCTCAAGTTATAGATGGGCCAAGGATTCGCCAACAGACCGACAAACGGACAGGCGGACAGGCCGACAGGCTTTCTCGATTTTATAGCAAATATTGATTGATCGACAGCGAATTGAACTGAACACAGGTAACCAGTATTGCAGCTGCTGCTTTTGTAGAGTACATATTTTGGGACACTATTAAACAAAGTAGAACGCTAATAAAACAACCAGTCTCTGTGCTTAAATTTTTATAAAAGCCGTTTTTTTATCTTTTATAAATGCTAATTATTTGTTGTAAATAGCGCAACGCATGCATATTTGCTAGCATGGCATTGCCCTAGCTATTAGAAAAACGTTATACTTACCTTTGTTTGACATTGTACCATACGTTTTCCAGTTACTTGCTTGTCCTAGGGTATACGGATCTAACTGTACGTTTTTTCTCCCAAGCATTATTTCTTAAGTTGACAATTGAGCTGTCTGTATCCTAAGACTTTCTACTTTCAGAGTTACCCATTAGAAACAATCCAGACACAGTCAATTGAAATTTTTTCGCTGTAAAATCTAAAAATCTAACAGTACTATTTTGCATTGCTTAGTAACATTTAGCACAAAAATGTATCATCAAAATGCTGTACTCGTATATCTCATTCATTTTTTCAGCTGTAGAAAATTGACAGTGAACTTTGAAAATACGCATTTTCCACCCTTAACATTATATGCAAAACATCTACCCGATTATTCAAATATTTCCTTCAAAATAAACCATACAAATTTAAAAATTGACAGAGTGGACAGTATCAAATATTTAGGAATTTTTTTAGACCAACATTTAAGGTGGGACATTCATGCAGCCTACATTTTAAGGAAAATAAGATTTCTTACATACAAAATTAAATTCCTCACAGGCATATTGACAGAAAATTATATGCGTGCTATATATCATGCCTTAATTGAGTCGCACTTAGGGTATGGTATATTAGCATGGGGTACAGCAAGTCCAGTGTACTTAAACGACATAGAAGTTTTACAGAGAACTATCTTAAAAATGATATTCAGAAAACCAAAATTGTATTCAACAAATTTTTTGTAGAACGAAAAAAATTATTTGATATCAAGCAACTTTATTTTTTACATACTATCAGCCATTATCACAGTGAGCGCGATGAAATCACACATTGCCATGATACAGGGTATAACTCACGAGCAAAAACTGTCCCCGAGCCTCATAAGCGATCTTTTCTCTATTTTGCTCCAAAATGATAGACACACCCAAAGACTTAAAACAATTTCGGAATACACATAATTTTAAAAAGAAATTATCAGAATGGTTACGCGCAATAGGAAGACCACATAGTTGAATTCCTATCAAATATCCCTCAAAAATTATGATCCTCTATATACATATACACCTCTTTGATATAAGTTTTAATTCAAGTTTCTTTTAACTTTTTTGTTTTGATTTTGGAACACATTCCAACATACGACTGATCCATGTAACAAGCATTCTCCTTCTATGGATTGAACCATTTATTTATCCACTATATGTTGTGATTGTTCTTATACAATGTTTTTGGTCACGACATACCGATATTTAAGAGGGGTATTTTCAACTACTTTTATCGACAAATCCACCCCCTACATTGTTTTACCTCATCCCCCTTGAAATGGCAGCCATTTTTATTTTTAGGTTACGGTATGGTAGTGCATGTATGAAAATTGTTAAGAACTGAGTACGTAAGTATCAGAATTTTAAATTTGGTGTCATTTGAACGATGACATGTTGTCCTAGCGATTATTGGGAAACTTGTTTTGATACTAACCGTCAAACATACTTAAAAACAGAAAAAAATATGGAAGAAAATTGATTATTTTGTACATTTCTGCACACCATTCAAAAACTAGTCTGTGAAGTTATACTTTTTTGTGCTAATTCTACAGCTTTTTGTTATCCTAAGTATTCTACGTTAAGCAATAAATGTTATCTAAGATGGATCAAAATGGGTGTAATAAGATGCAAATTGTTTTCAAACTTTTAATACATAAAAATGACAAATCAATGTTTCTTTTAGAGAGTTTGGACATGTTTAATGTTACAGAAGCAAAATATCCTCCACTTTTGGTTATGCACATTATTGTTCTTAAAACAATGTGTCGTGCTGAGCGGCAGACCATATCCGTGTCAGACCCAATAGCTGAAAAATATCCGCCTCAAATATCGGTATGTCGTGACCAAACACATTGTATAATGGAGTAAATAAATGTCTATTACTACTTCGAGGTTAATTTTTCATACATCTTTGTGATAACATTTTTCGTTGTGAAATTGGCTAGTATGTTCGTAAATAAAAAAATGAGTTGCTGATTGAAACCTGACCTGCGTGACAGAATTAGGGCCACATTCTAAAAGACAGGATGAGGAAAAACGTCAGTTTTGGTGCAAAACTTTGCAAAGCAAATTCTGCCACTTCTCGTTCATAATAAACTAAGAGGATTAATCGAAATAAGCATTTTGAAAAATACTCCAACAAGCATAGATATAATTCACAAACGTATAATACACTTCCGGTTCAACATCCAGCTTCTTCAAATTTTTCTACACGCGTATCATCCAAAATGGCATCTCTGCTGTAGCATCAAATGCTCCAAGTTAATCTTCAGGGCCCTGTTTCTAACCAAACACGTGTACACATAAATGGAGGCAGCTGTCGTAATTCAAGGCAGGCTAAACGGTCTCCATCACTCTGCATAACCCCATTAACTTTACTGCGCTGGTTTATTATTAACAGTTAACTGTTATAGTGGCTCGCAACGGAATATGTACATAGTCTACAGAATGAAATGTTCCACATAAACGGCTAATGCCAACTCAGCTGATACCTCTATAAATTTCTAGCTGCGGGCAATATATCTGAGGGTCATCGAGGAGATGGGTAGTCCAGTGAAAGCCGATGTTGCAATCACCAGATAACGGTGACCACCAGGTATCGATGGGTACAGTGGGGTATTTTTCATTAGTTTCAACTATGTCGATGTGACTCCAACACTGTACGAACAGTTGCGATGTTCTCTAGAACTACACTGAGAAGAAAGTTTGATTCAACCAATCCAAATTTTAATTAGGCCAAATAGTATAATTGATTAACTATATAATAGCTAACAAGTTTAATTATTCTAATTCATTCCGTCTTCTGAAACACACTACTTGAATTTATGAAACTAGTTAAATTAAACCAAAACGCAATCGTTTATTTAAATTTATTGAACTGCTTACCTAAAATGAGTACACCAATTTGATAAAAATTGAATAACTATTAAAATCAGTTTGCCTGCACCAAGTAAAGCAATTCAATTACATTCAGTAAATTTGGGTAAAAGTATTTTCCCAGATTTAATTAATTATTTTACTAAGATTATAGGGAGTTTTTGATAATATTTGGAAGAAACTGCATTTTACTGAATGATGTATATTATAACTGCTCTAACAAGTTTTATACAGGGTGACTTCGAAGTTGAGTCATTTATTTTAACAGTGAATAGATCTGATCAAAAGAAATGTTTTTTTCCTTTAACATTTTTGTGGTAAAGTTAAAGTAACAATGTTATAGCCCTTTAGAAGTTTGAGTACCGCCCTGTCTCAATAATAATATTATGTGCTCGTGTTTGGCAACAACGTATATAATCCGCCTTATCGGTTCATCGCATCGGAAACAAAAAAGCGAAAGAATTTGAAACGCTGATCACGATGTTTTTATTCAGTCAATGTGTCAGTCGGTAACGCGTGAGTGAATAGTGGTGTTTGCTGCGTGGCTCAAACGAAATAAAAAAAGGCACATGTTTATGCGGATCGGTTTCCCAATCGAGTGCAACCAACCCCTCGTGCGTTTGTTAATGTAGTACAACGGGCTCGTGAATCAAGTGACTTAAGACCTCACAGGGGAGGGCATGCCGGTGCTCCAAGACCTCACGATCAAATACAGGTACTTTATAAAACAAGGTAAAAATTTTTTTTATTTTTTTTTTATTGTTACACACATATTTTGGTTTATCTTCCTTCTACAATCATTATCTGAAAATTAATGACTCAACTTCAAAGTAAAACTTGATAGTTGATGTTTCCAATCGAAATAAAGGCTTCCGAATTTTGTAATCCTTAAAGAATTCGATATTTTTATATTCACTAATTGTGAACTCATCCATCATCCACTAGAAACAATTATTATTTGTTTTAAATTCACAAAATATTGAGAGATATATCTGAAACTAAATGAGAACTACATTATCATGTGTACAAAAATTGTACTTTTATTTCTAACAGGAAAACCAGATTGAACTCTCGCGCATTTAATCCATTAACATTATATGAATAAATTCGACATCACTTTGAATAAACTATTATATTTTCAAATACTACAAAGTCTGCATCAAAAGGAGGCTCCACATCCTATATTTGTACATACAATATAAAAGAAAAACATATTAAGCCTACGTTAAGCACATGTTTGATATAAATGCAATTCATTGACCTAAATACAGGTTCATACATAGTATTTCAAAGTTCTGTCCACTCCGTCACGTCAGCAGTGCCTTCTCGGTAATTGGTCGGGTATTGAAGCCTGTTTTTTCCGTCATAAGTTAACTGCAACTTGTGTGGTAACCAGAATTTGACTTTCAAAAAAAATCTTTCGATTATCAAGTTTAAGTGGTAGTCGACTTCAATCAAAAGACCCAATTTATGGGATACCTAAAATTATGGTCAAACCGCAGTGTCAAACCCAATGTGACATCTTGTTGTCATGGATGTCAAAAAACAGCAATACCGAACATCACAAAATGCATCATACGATAATTCAGGCCTAAAATGACCGTTATTGATTGTTAACTACAATTTGAAAAACGAATTCAGAGACACCTGATATTTAACATTGTTACGTAACTTGAAAGTTAACCATAGATTGAAAAACCGGGCCTAATCGTCTTATGCCGAGTATTTCACTTGATCACCATAGTTGATCCACTTCATAACTGCAACACCAACGACGGCAACATTCGAGAATGAAGCTACTCGCGAAAACAATAAATGAAACTGAGGAGTTCGAAGCGCGTCACCGGCACTCCGTGTGTCGCATACTTCCGATCATTCACGAATAGAAGACCAAGTCCTTCCGAATCCTCAATTCAAATAAACAGTTTAACTACTTTTATTAAAATGCATAATAGTTCCAAGTGTACCTTGTCTACACACACTAAATTACCTAAACTAATTAAACAGTTTAATAAAAACAGGTACATATTTTGCTGTTTTCAAGCAACTTAACTAAATGTAATATATCATGTACAATATACCATTACTTTGAATTAAACCGGTTCCTTAAAATTCAGTTTAATTGAGCCGAATAATTATAACCATTAAGAAATGCATAACGGCTAATGAATTTTTGTCAGAACTGCTC